GTGACCCAGCAAAGATCATCTCAAGTATTAGCACATTTGTGGGTGGAGGCAAATAATGAGGGCATTTTAGGTAAATTCAGAGGAGAAAGGAAGCCATTCTGTCACACACCACATTTTAACTGGGTCATCCCACCACTTTCTTTGGAATTCCATTCAGTGTTTAATAATTCTGTCTATAAATTCTTCCTGAAAGCTCATTCAAATGCCTCATGGTGTAAGTCAAGCTGTTTCCTCTTGTTCTGCCCACATGATAAGAGGGAGAAACCATTTTCTATGTAACTTTTTTTTTTTTTTTTTTAAATTTAACTTAGTGCACTAAAACCCAACTGACTGCTGTGGTGTGGGATCCGACTCATAGCGACCCCTCCTTGGGTTTCTGAGGCAGTATCACTACAGAAGTAGACTGCTCAACCTTCCTTCCAAGGAGTGCCTGGTGGGTTTCAACAGCTGGCCTTCTGGTTAGCAGTCAAGTGCCTTAGGCACTACACCACCAGAGCTCCTTAATGCACTAAAACCCCACCAAAATGACTTCTGTCTTCTCCAAGCAGGCAAAAAAGGACTCATTGGCCATCATTGGCTACATTCCTTATTATTACCTCATTGTCCTACATTGTCTAGGGTTACTCATGGGTGCTCCTCACGTACACCTTCTCTTTCCTTCGGGGCTTCCTCTCTCCATATTTAATCAGAACGCCTCTGGGGTTCTTTCTGAGAGAATAACCATCACCACAACATATAAACCATTGGTATGGTGATTGCTTTCAAGGCTGCCTGCTCTTGGTTTTCTGAATATGTTGCCCATTACGTGCTATTTTCTTAACAAATGGACAAACTCCTTCTCTTGCTGCTTTGTCATTACTTAACTTGGTGAATAGCTTGTCACTCACAAAAGCCCTTCTGGATCATTTCTTTTCCTCTCTGTTTAGATGGAAAGAATGTCTGGAAAGCACTTGACATTGTAGAAGGTCTCCTGGTAAGACTCATCTTTATTTTTCAGTTGTTGTTGTGGAGCCCTGGTGGCACAGTAGTTAAAACATTCAACTAACTGTTAACTAAAAGGTCAGCAGTTCAAACCCAGCAGCTGCTCTGTGAGAGAAGGATGAGGCAGTCTGCTTCCATTAAGACTTACAGCTTTGGAAACCCTATGACGGCAGTTCTTTGTCCTATGGGGTCACTATAAGTCAGAATCAACTCTATGGCAGTGGTTTTTTTGAGGTTGTTGTTGGGTGCCATCAAGTTGATTTCAGCTCATAATGATCCTCTGACAGAGCGGAACTGCCTCTTAGGTCTTTCTAGGTTGTAACCTTCACAGGGGCACCTCACCAGGGCTGTCTCCTGCAGAGCTGCTCAGTGGGTTCCAACCACCAACTTTTTGGTTAGCAGCTGAGCACTTAACCTTGTGCCATCAGGGCCCCTTTCACTAGTTACAGGCATTTGTTTCAACCATAAGTGAAAAGATCCTAAGTTTTTAGCTAAACAGGAAATTTTATTGTTTTGGACACCAACATTTTACCTGGGCATTATGTCAGAACAGTAACCAAACCTAGCATTCCCCAGAAACAGTGGCCTCTGTATTTATAATAAGAGCCCAGAGAAGGAAGCTAGCAGACTTACCTTAATACAGTCATCAGGTCTCAATCTGATTTCCTGTCATCACCCCCAACACAGACCTGACTCTCAGTGCTACTGAGTTCCCATCACTCCCCAAAATGATGGGCCCTTTCACAGTCCCATACCTTCTCAATGCCCAGCATGGGTTCCTACCTACCATGCTCAACCTTCTCCCCTGTTCTAAACTCCATTCTTCTTCCCCAGAAAAGCTGTCCCAAAGGTCCTTGGCAGAAACACTTTGTCAGGGATCTGATAGCCCACTTTGTTCCAGTTTCTGAAATAAAGCCATCTGTTTACATGACTCCTCCACTAGCCCATGGACCCCCAGCAGTGGGGGTGCTTGCACAGGGCCTGAAACAAGGCAGCACTTACTACATGTTTTTGGGGGGCAGGGGAGTTTGGGGAAGCTTGATCTGAAATTCAAAGGATCATTGAGGCCAACATTCATCCCTGTTCTCACCACCTTTTTTGCCTCAGGACAAAACTCTTTGGCCTTGGACAAACATCTCAGCATCATTCAATGAGTGAACAGACTGACATATAACACAAAAATGTAAGATGCTCATCTCCCTGAATTCCCTCCAACTGGGGACTCCTGTTTTGCTGCACATTAGAATTCTTTTCAGTTTACCCACCTTTACCCACCAGTCTAAGACAATGCCCCTGGGAGGAAGGTCAGAACACACCTCTCTCATTCACCCTGGGGATAATGCAGCAGTTACTCCAGGCTTCCAACATCCTTGGTCCAGTGCAGGCCCGGAAGTCCCAGCAGTGTTGGCCACTGAGCAATGTTGGAGGAACCAATGAACAATCACAGCTTTGAGCATATTTATTTATTTATTTTTATTTTTTCACAAAGAGCTCCAAAAGCCAAGTAGTTTATCATTTCCCCACCCTGAAACGGCACAGCATGACAGACAGTGTTAAGGTACCTGATACCACTCTTCCTTATTCTCCCTAGTTCCAGCAGCAGGCCTGAGTGAAGCTGGAGCCAGGCCCGTGCATGTGTTCTCCACAAATTATAGGTGCTCGGTACACACCCAGCAGCACCAGCGCTGCTGAAGTCAGGGTTGTCTGTCCAGAACATCCCACCACTGGATCCCAAGAACAATCTAGATAGGAGTTAACCTCCAGAGGCAGAGAGCAGGTGTCACTGCAGGCAGGCAGCAAAGGCCTGGGTAGCACAGGCTTCTCATGACACCAGCAAAAGTCAACTGTGTTAGCTTGAGAATTGAAGGGAGGCTTGAGACTCAAGGAAGGAAGAGTAATGAGGTCAAGGAACCCCTTGATTGCTGACAAGATGACATTTTTAAAGAAATGCTAGGTCTGCAGTTCACAGTATTCAAAAGGCAAGAACACTGGTTAGGATTCCAGACCGGAGCAGGGAGAAGTAAAGGCTGGGCTAACAGAGCCAGAACTTTATTCACAGTAGAATAGTCCTAACCTAAAAATTCTAGAATTTAAGACCAAAGTCTTTTAAGAATGAGAATTCTTAAACAAAGTCAGACCAGCTGACAAAAAGGAAAAAAAAAAAAAAAAGTTCTCTATTAAACAAAACAATACACAAATCAACTCAGTCTTCCTCCACTCCTCAAACCCCAGCCACCTCCCACCCCACTAAAAAAAAAAAAAAAAAAAGGCACTAAAGCCATGCACACTTTCACACACTCAAATATGCAAACAAAATACAAAATACCCCAGGAAAGCTTAGGGATCACCGAAGGATTTTTCACTAGCTCCCCAATGTTCTTTCTGTTGTTACAGAAAAAAAGAGTCAAGTGCTGACAGCTATGTCTATGCGGTACAAATTGGAGCTGACAAGATCCCTTTCCTCAGTTTCCTGGCTTAGTCAATGAAGAAGAATGTTAACAATAAGTCAGAAGGAAAGCCAAATCTGGTCTTCTGGACAAGTCAAGCTAGTGTGTTGTCCTGCAGACTGGGGAGCACTGAGCTTGGACCATGCAGCACTCCCCCTCCCTCTGCCTATGGGCTCTGTTCCAGAGTGCCCACCCAGAGAGTTTAAGTGTGAAATTCAGGGTGCTGGGGCTGCAGAGCTCCCTCCTGTGTGGCTGCTGTGGCGCATGGGCATTGGAGGAGGAGGGCGCGTGTACAAGATGCTTGGGGAGGCATTTCTGAAGGCAAATTTGACTGCATGTATGTCTAAGAACTTCAACCTGAGTCAATCCAATGCGAGATACGAAGAAAGCCACAAGGAATGTAGGGGACACCTTGACCAAAATATGGCAGGGAACTCTTGAGGGTGTGTCTGTCCAGGATTCTGACTCTGAGAGCTTCCTTGGGTGTTGGCCTAAATCAGTTGACTAGTCAATCCGTTTTTTCTGACCAAGGTCTTTGTTCCCAGATGGTAAGAATCACACTCTGCAAGTCAGACTGGGAAATACAGAATTGGATGGTTGAACCACTGTGTCTACACTGACTGCTCTCCAGGGTGCAATGAGAGCTTGAAACATCTGTTTCTCTGCTTTATCCTTTAATGTTTTCCCCACATTTTATAAAATAAATAACTCAAAATATAATGAAGACCCAGCAAGGACAATTGTTGGCTGAAAATGTGCTCTGTCTCTTAACAGTGACTCATAAACTCACACTGCAGTTCATTCCCAGACTGAGGGGTGTGGGGGGAGCTGATATGCTGCAGCAGCACAGGGACTCCAGGACAGGAACTACACGCCAGCCCTGACCCCTGTTATATTAAACTTATCTTTATAAATAGAGCATCCTCACTCAAGTGACCACAATTTTAAAAAAAGGCCAAAGGTTGAGTTCTTTTTTTCCTCAAATATCTACACAAACCCTCAATTATCTACCAAATTACATCCACATGGCAAGCCAGACACCTCTCTGTGAGAACTGCAGTTGCCTTGATGGTCAAGGGCTGAGTCTCAGATCCAAACACCCAGTCCCCACTGGACTATGAGGAGGACTAAGATAAAAATTCACTTGGCAGTAGGGCTCATGCCAATTCTTTTCAGTAAAAAGCCCAATTAATATGATTTCAAATGATTTGATGTTTCCCCAAAAACATGTTTCAGGGTTACACCTATCACATAAAGCAAGCTCCCACAAGACCAAACAGATGGTCTTTTGGCTTGTCTGCATTGACCACCCATTAACTGACGTAACAACTTGGTAATCATCCTTCTCTTAGGTGAGTCTCCAAACCATGTTGTTTGACCTTAATGTGGGAGTTAATGAACTGAAGAGCTGGGTGTCTGGATTGAAGCTTATCTTAATAGTTCCCATAAAGCTTACCTTCTACCTGTCAAGGAAATTGGGGTTTAATTTCCTAATTAAATTTCCCCTCCCCTGTCAAAATATAGTAATTTTGAGCAATCACATCAGACCACTGTGACAACTAAAAGAAATTAGAGTAAATGGGTAAATAGCCCTTTAGAAAAACCAAAACCTGATGAGCCACTGTGGGTCAAACATGCTGACAAGCCTTCATAGCTCATCCCTCGAAGGCACAGTGTCCAAGGAGGTTGGCGGTGGTAGTGCCTCTGTGTTCTTGGCGTTGTTGTGGATGTGCCCTTGCTTCCGGGACTTCCAGGAGTGTGTCCTGTCCCAGTCCGTGGCCACCGTCTCATTGTCCCAGATGGTCGAGGTCTCTGTGTCACTCAAGTACCCCGGCTGGCCCGTGTAGTGTGTGGGGTAGATGAGCAAGGGTTCTGCAGAGAAGGCTTTCAAGTCTCTGGATTCGTAGAATTGCTTGTACTCAGCTCTGAAAGCAAGAAGCGCACAGACACATGAAGGGGGCAGAACACATACAGGACGGGGAAAGAGAGTGGAGGGCCCTTGCATGTTGTTCATTTGATTATTTTTAAAAGTCGTATCCTTTCCAAGAAACTTTGGTCCACAGGCATAGCACAGTTTTCTCTAAGAGCTTTCAGACAATCTTAGTTAAATAAGTAAATAAAAGTCAGGATATTTCTGTTCTATTTGAATAGACGAGAACCCTCAGGGTGTAATAGTTAAGTACTCAGTGGCTAAGTGACAAGTCAGCAGTTCAAACCCACCAGCTGCTCCACGAGAGAAAAATGAGGCAGACTACTTCCATAAAGATTACAGCCGTGGACACCCTATGGGCAGTTCTATTTTGTCCTATATGGTCACTGTGAATCAGAATCAACTTGATGGCACCCCAACCAACAACATTCCAATAGACTACTTTACAAGGTGAATTTTAAGTCTTAATTTAACAATTAAAATTTCAGCTCTTTTGGACCATTTAATAATAAATAAATAGGATCACTTCATAGAAAAAGTCTTGTTCCTGGATTACAAAAAAAAAAAAAAAAAACTCACTGCTGTCGAGTCAGATCTGACTCACAGCAATCCCTCCTTGGGTTTCTGAGGCAGTATCACTCTGGAAGTAGATTGCCCAATCTTCCTTCCAAGGAGCGGCTGGTGGGTTTGAACCACCAGCCTTCTGGTTAGCAGTTAATACATTAGAAATCTGAGATCTGGAAGGCAGTGTGGGGCAACAGCAAGGGCATGGGCTTTGAAGCATTTCTACTTCTGTTGCATTCCAGCTCCCTGTGAGCGTAAAGGGGAGGGATGATTTGGCCTTCTCCAGAGTCCTTTTGTGGACTATATGAATGATATCTGTAAGGCTTCTATGTCAGTGAGTGCATTAATTTCCCCTCTGTTAAGGGGATGATGATGGATTTGTTATACATAAAACTATGTCTCCCCAAAAGATACCTTGAAGTCCTAATCCTGGTACCTGTGAATGTGACTTTGTTTGGAAATAAGGTCTTTGAAGATGTCACTGGTTAGTTTACATGAAGTTATAATGGAGCAGGGCAACCAATCTGAGTGGTGTCCTTGGAAAAGAGAAGAGGCATAGAAACAGACACAGAGGGAAGATGGCCATGTAACTATGGCAGAGATTGGAACTGAAAGCCAAGGAACACTAAGGATCTCTGGCCATCACCAGAAGCTAGGAGAGCAGCATGGAATCCATTCTCCCTGAGCGCTTCAGAAGGAACCAACATGGCTGATAGCTGATTTCTGACTCCCAGACTCGAGAGCTGTGAGACAATAAATCTTTGTCCTTATAAGTCACTCATTTGTGGTACTTCTTTACTGTGTAACCCTAGAAAACTAATACAGACCTTTGAGTTTCTACTCAGAGGAAGAGATAAAGTCAGTTTCTAACATATTTTATAAAGGGAGGGTGAGGCGCTCCTTTTTTACTGAGGACAGGAGACAAAATGAATAAGATGTTGCATAGGAAATATCAACAGCTAAAATGAAAACCTTTGTGGTGGTTATGTTTGTGTGTCAACTTGGCTGGACCTGGTTGAGTGGCTGGACAGCTGGTGGTAATTATCCCCCATGATGAGACTGTCAATCAACTCCATGGCGAGATCTCCCACAAGCAGCTGAGTAGCTGCTTTGGGTATGTGGTCTGCTTCCTGTGTATAAGAAACAGATTTGGAAAGGCTCTCTAGCTTACGGCATGCTTGGACCCTGCATGTAGCCGTGTCATTGTTCAGCAGCCTGCCGTGCCCTGCTGACCCTGGGACTTAAAATGGACTTAAATTAACGGCCTGCCATGTGATTTGGTAACATCGGGACTGTGCCTTTTTATTTGTCAACCTTGGGTTTCTCAGCCTCAGCAGCCAGCAGCTATCTGAGTGAAGAAATGCCTCTAGCTCCAGTAGGCCAGGAGCAGGAGGCAGAGCTGGACGCCAAGGTTGAGAGGCTTTCACCCAGCCCCTAGAGCCTCGCACTTTGAACCTGGACTTAAAGCCTCCAAACTATAAGAGAATAAACTCCTGTTTGTTAAGGCCATCCCATTTGTGGTATATTCTTGTCTGAGCAGCACTATGTAACCAGAACAACCATTTAGTAAGGGAATCACTCAGCAACTGAGAGAAAGAGTGGAGGTTAGAACCTGGACTCCTGTTCCATTTGCAAAGTTAGGGATCAGGGGTCTAGCAGCTATTGCACAGAGTTTGACCTAGGCTCTAAGAACACAAAGATGAAAGATTATCCCTACCCCAAGGGGCTCATAGTTTACTTGGGAAATTCACAGGTAAACCATCAATTACTGCACCCTACAGTAAGTGCTAGGTCAGTGTAAGCTATAGGGCTATGGGAACCCTGTGCATCAGGCTGCCTTCCTCCATGGATACCCTGCTCAGGTGCCACCTCCACTGCCCCGGACCTCTTACACATCTCTGTGACAGCAGGTATCACAATATATCAGGATGATCTGTTCATAAGACTGGGTTCCCCACCATATTGTAAACCCTGCAAGGAGAGGGGACCACTGCTTGACCAACACTACACCCACTCAACAAATAATGAACTGAACCAAACGAACTGAAGAATGTAGGGTGCTTAGGAAGATAATCTTCATCTTGAGTTGTATTAGCTTAATGAAGGTAAGAAGATTCAAGTCAAGGAGAGAACAAGCAGTGTATGTCAAGTTAAAGGACACATTGGGTATTACAGATGCTCACCATCCCTGCCTCATATTCTCCATCTATAAAAGGGAAAATCACTTGAGTATTCCTCTCTAGGTCATGATTATGGAAAGATCACTAAGGAATTGTAAAGTTACTTTATAAAATATCAGTTACTGCCCAGAAACCGAGTAGTGTCATTAATTCATGAAGGGGTGAGGGCTGTGCCCAAGGGGCTGGCAGGGATTTCTGGGCAACTCACACAGGATGTTTGTTGTACATGATTGGCAGGAACTCATCCACTGGCAGCATCTTTCCAAAAGGATTGGCTCCAACCAGCTTCTGTGCTCCTTCCAGAGAGATGACGTAGCCAAGGGTCCAGTAGGAATAGTCGGCTTCAACCAGATTTAGCACACTGGGTACAGCTTTCTCAGGTTCCTTTACTTGCATCCTCTTTCTACCAATATAACTAAAAGGAAACAGCCAGAAGAGAAAAATTCCAACTTGCATACTAGACAATGGTAAGAACAGAGCACAGCATTGGTTTGCACAGACATGTTTGAAATCTGAGACCAAATGTGTCTCATATTAAATGTGTTGCACACACAGTGTATCAAGCAACCAATCATGACTGTCACCTGCCATCAATGGGATACCAGTTGCCGGTACTTGATATTTTGTAAAAGTTTTACTGTTTCTCATTTTCCTGGCTCCACTTATCACAACTCCAATTATCACTGCTTAGCAAACTATGTTCAAGGCAGCAAGGTAGGATGTAGAGTGTTTAAAAGATCTTTGAGATCATTTCCCAAAAAAAGGCCAGATGTGAAAATTCTGAGTATGTTGTTTTTAAGTCCCCAGAGCTTAGCCTCTCATGCTTTCTGCCCAGTTCTCCGAATACTAGTGATAAACATAGGACAGAAGGAACTATGGGAAAGGAACACTCTTGTTGTAAAGGACACAAAAATCCAAGAGGACTCTTCTTGGGGAGCATGGATTACAAGGCCCTGATGGTTTTCTACCCCTCACCTAGCTCTGTCCTTGTTTCCTCCTGAGAAGGTTTCCATGCACATTCTGTCCTCCATGAACACCTTCAACAACCCAGAGGTACCCTCCACAATTCCTGCCTTCCTGTAGTCTATTCATGGATCTGTGATCCATTGCTTTTGTCTGCAGCCTGTGTGGAAGTAGATTGCCCAACCTTCCTTCCGAGGAGTGGCTGGTGGGTTTGAACCACCAGTCTTCTGGTTAGCAGTCAAATGCCTTAGGCACACGCCACCAGAGCTCCCAGAGTTTTTGAAGTGAGTTGAGGAGTTGTCTGCTTCCTGCCTTCTAGGTAAAACAGCAGTTCATTTATTTTGCCCCAAAATTATCTCTCTCAGTATGCAAGGGATCCCCCCTTGTTCAAGCATTCTGGAATCTGCTGAATAAGTTCATATTCATGCTTCCAGTTTCACTGAGAATTGTTGTTGTTGTTAAGTGCCGTCGAGTCGTTTCCGACTCATAGCGACCCCATGCACAGCAGAACGAAACACTGCCCGATCCCGCACCAGCCCCACAATCCCTGCTATACTCGAGCCCATCATCGCAGCCACTGTATCAATCCATCTCGTTGAAGGCCTCCCCCTCTTTCATCGACCCTCCACCCTACCAAGCATGACATCCTTCTCCAGGGAATGGTCCTTCTGACAACATGACCAAAATAGGTGAGACGAAGTCTGGCCATTCTTGCTTCCAAGGAGCATTCTGGCTGCACTTCCTCCAGGACAGATCTGTTAGTTCTTTTAGCAGTCCATGGTACTTTCAGCATTCTTCGCCAGCACCACAACTCAAAAGCATCAACTCTTCTTCGGTCTTCCCTATTCATTGTCCAGCTCTCACATGCATACAAGGTGATTGGAAATATCATGGCTTGTGTCAGGCGCACCTTAGTCCTCAAGGAGATATCCTTGCTCCTCAGCACTTGAAACAGTTCCTTCACAGTTGACTTTCCCAATGCTACACGACGTCTAATGTCCTGACTGCTGCTTCCGTTGGCATCGATTGTAGAACCAAGCAATGTGAATTCCTTGACAACCTCAATCTTCTCTCCATTGATTGTGATGCTGCTCATTGGTCCAGTTGTGAGGATTTTTGTTTTCTTTATGTTGAGATGTAATCCATACTGCAGACTGTATTCTTCAACCTTCATCAGTAGGTGCCTTAAGTCATCCTCACTTTCAGCAAGCAAAGTTGTATCGTCTGCATATCTCAGGTTGTTAATGATTCTTCCTCCAATCCTGATACCACGTTTTTCTTCATATAGTCCAGCTTCTCGGATTATTTGCTCAGCATATAGATTGAATAAGTGTGGAGAAAGAATACAACCCTGACGCACTCCCTTCTTGATTTTAAACCATGTAGTGTCCCCTTGTTCTGTTCGAACGACAGCCTCCTGGTCAAGGTACAGATTCCTCATGAGTACAATCAAATGCTCAGGGATTCCCATTCTTCTCAATGTTATCCATAATTTATCATGATCCACACAATCAAATGCCTTTGCATAGTCAATAAAACACAAGTAAACATCTTTCTGGTATTCTTTGCCTTGAGCCAAGATCCATCTGACAACAGCTATGATATCCCTTGTTCCACGTCCTCTTCTGAATCCGGCTTGAACCTCTGGAAGTTCTCTGTCAATATACTGCTGCAAACGTTTCTGAATTATCTTCAGTAATATCTTACTTGCATGTGATATTAGTGATATTGTTCTATAATTTCTACATCAAACATATATTCTCTCATCCACTGTCTTTTCAGACTAAAGGGTCTGAATTATTCTAGTGCATCATCAAATGGAAGAACTTCTATTAGGTACTTGAAAAGTCACTAGAGCAGCCAAGGAACTAAGTTTGTAGTTGTGTTAATTTTAATGAATTTAGTTTAAATTTAAACATTAAAGCTGTGTGAAATAGAGTGACCAATATGGCAGCATCGAGGATGAGAAAGACCTAGAGAGGTACATGGGAGGTACAGACAACAAATATGAACCCTTTTGCATATACAGTATATGGGTATATGGGTGGATAGATGGGTGGACAGTCTGAACGATTAGGTATGTCTATGAAATGGGGAGGGTATCCAAGAACATATATAGGGTTGGCAGACAATGG